AGCAGAGTTTACAAGATCCTTAAAGTACCAGAAAAAACTGTCTTGTTACTTGCCTCTTCTTAAAGAGTTTGTTCCAAGTGCAGCTCAAGAGATTGAAGAAGAATACGTTTACGATTATTATGTGAATGTGAATGAAGAGACGGATATTACTAGTTCCAAGAACCAGTTTCCTCTTGTCAAAGTCGAGTATGGAGAACATGATGAATCGGGATACGACTACTATGATGATTCAAACGCGGAATATTATGCAATGAACTATGAAGACGAGGTGACTTCAGAAATACATATGGGAAGGGTCTTTCGAGACGACGAGTTTGATGGTAATGCAGAGGATGAGAATGAGGAGTTTGAGTACATTGGTCTCGAGAAAGGAGAGGTTTGTGTTCCAAAGGGAGATACATTTGTTTTATGGTAATATTTTTACTTATGAATTATGCTTTTTGTTGTTACTCATTGATTTTCGATTTGGATTATTGAAATCGACCCGTGGTTTCATAAGAAGTTAGGCTCTCTTTGCTCAAGTTAATTAACAGCCATTAGAATAGAAAGAACCAAGTCCTGTTTTCACAATGCAATTGTTTCAGTTGATGAAAAAAATACTCTATCGATTTCACTTATTGCAGTAATATATATGTTTACTAGGTAACAACATTCGTAACAAAGGTATTGCCGAAGTTGAGATCTTGAATTTGGATTTGATCTTTCCCACTGATGATTGATGGGGACGGTACACTGAACCATTTTAAATACAGTGAGAGAATAATTATATCTTTTCTCCAACTTTGAGTTGTAATCATAAGGCCAAGCTTCTGAGGTCAAATAAGCTTGAGCTCGGTCGAGCAATTTCAAAATCTCTTGACACCGTTTTCCTAGTGATGCTATGTTTGTTCTTAAATATACACGAAATTTAGAATTTAATTGTTTATCAATCCAGAGAGGAAAAACCAAAAACCCTAAAAATGGAAAATATCTTCAAGGTTATTGCCACTCCATGGACGAATCGGCCACCAAAGCCATCAGAGTAA